GGACTCGTGTGGACCCACAGCAGGACCAGGACTCGTGTGGACCCACATCAGTACCAGGACTCGTGTGGACCCAAAGCAGGACCAGGACTCGTGTGGACCCACAGCAGTACCAGGACTCCTGTGGACCCACATCAGGACCAGGTATCATGTGGTCCCACATCAGTACCAGGACTCATGTGGACCCACAGCAGGACCAGGACTCATGTGGACCCACAGCGGTACTTGTGTATGTGTTTTAAATGTTGTTAAATGTCTTAACAGCAAAACTCTAAATAACTGATGGTTCTTTATTGTTTTTTAGGAAACTGTCAGTTTTTAAAACTTTTGTCAGTTTCCAAGTATTTCTGGGATATTTCTGGATTTGTCTCTTTTTGTCTTTGGGAGGGTAAAATCAGCCACACATTTATTTATGTCCATGTTTTTATTTATTTATTTATTTTGGTGCAGTCAATAAACCAGTACGTTTTTTCTTGACAAAATTTAAAAATGCAAACTTCTGTTGTCAGAATGTTTTCAGATGGTCTCGTAACCTCACAGTAACTTTACTATGCTCTCATAAGCTCACAGTAAATTTACTACGCTCTCATAACCTCACAGTAACTTTACTACGCTCTCATAACCTCACAGTAACTTTACTACGCTCTCATAACCTCACAGTAACTTTACTACGCTCTCATAACCTCACAGTAACTTTACTACGCTCTCATAACCTCACAGTAACTTTACTACGCTCTCATAACCTCACAGTAACTTTACATTAACTTGAGAAAGAGAGAAACTGGAGAAACTAAAGAAACTGTTCCAGACGACATGTTTTAACCTTTTTTGTTGTCATCTACCTGGACGATTGAGATTACAACCCTTTCAGTTTTTAGTTTTCCAAAAATATTTCAAACTAGTTTTTTTTTCTAATCTCCTTGATTTGGTGTTTTTATAGAATTAGTCTTCAGACAAATAAAAATCATTTCCATGTGAGGCCAACAGATCGAACTCTTAAGATGGAGGAGCTGTGCGAGCCACTTCCTGTTCCTGTGTGAGGTGTAGAGGAGTGCATACCCCATGCCATCCTTGTACTTCTGGATGAGTTTCTGTTTGTCCTCCTTGTCCTCCACCCAGTACTCACTCGGGATGACAAAGTTTGACGTGATTCGACACTCTGGACAAGACCTACAGGAGAAACAGAACCATGAACGTTCCACAGGATGTGCACCCCACACCAACACTGTGCTTCCTTTACATGGAATCAGAACTAATGAATGATATTTTGACGCGTCTGCAGAGCAGCAGAACATCCCAGAGCTGAAGTAGCTGTGTTCATCTGTCCCAACGTGTCTGAATACAATAATAACACAAAACAACTTTATTTATGAAGCACTTTAAAAACAACACCGTTGGCCAAAGTGCTGTACACTAACACATACAAGCATGAAAACTAAAAACCATAAAATCAACAGATGTCATAAAAGTAATCAAGAGTCAGAGTCAGAGTTTCTTTATTGTCATTCGCACCTCATGTGGTACATGTGGTGGAATGAAATTATGTCCACAGGGTCCCAGTTACATCCAACAATAAAATGTATAAGAAAAACAGTAATAACATCTAAGATATGAACTAAGAAAAACATCAACTAAATATACACTAAGCACTCATAACATAAAACATTGAACATCAGCACAAACATGAACATGAGTCTGTGAGCAGATGTGCACGCATGAACACATCAACATTGAAACAGATCAGCAGCAACATGAAACAGATCAGCAGCAACATGAAACAGATCAGCAGCAACATGAAACAGATCAGCAGCAACATGAAACAGATCAGCAGCAACATGATGTGGTTTTTCACAGTGATTATTCTAGTTAGAGATTCATGAGTCTAACAGCCTCAGGGTAGAAGCTGTTCCTCAGTCTAGTGGTTCTACACTTAATGCTCCTCAACCTCCTTCCTGAGGGAAGTGGGGCAAAAAGTGTGTGTGCTGGGTGAGTGTGGTCCTTCATGATGCAGGTGGCCCTCTTCCTGCATCTGGAGGTGTAGATGTCTGTGATGGTGGGGAGACTGACTCCAACATCTTCTGTGCAGCCTTCACCACTCTCTGCAAAGCTTTTCTTTCTGCAGCTGTGCAGCCTCCATGCCACACGTTGATGCTGGAGCACAGGATGCTCTCCACTGCACACCTGTAGAAGGAGGTGAGGACTGAGCTTCCAGACCAGCTTGTCTCAGCCGCCTGAGGAAGTAGAGTCTCTGATGATCTTTCTTCATCAGGCTGGTGGTGTTGTTGCTCCAGCTGAGGTTGTTGTTCAGGTGCACACCCAAGTACTATTTTGACAGACTTCCTGCCGTCTCTCTGTAGTTTCCTGCCACTGACTAACATTCCCCTTTGACAGAGGTGGGAGCTCGTGGCTCACGGCACCCCGCCCCTCATGGGGCAGGTATTTGCGATACAGACAGAATGCCTTCAGGTAATCAGATGTACGACGACTCTTGCTCATGGTTTCAAATATCCAATCATAACTCCACCCACTCTGTCATCATGTGACCAGAACTCTAACCTGAATGACCAGTTCATTCATTCAACTTTATTTCTACAGGTTAATCCCATTGAGCCTCGGGGACTCATTTACAAGAGAGACCTGGTTTATTTAACTAAGAGTGAAGACAACAGTGGACAACGACAACAATAGACGATCATAAAAGAGGCTTAGAGATTTTTTTTTTTTTCAAATTAAAATAAAATGGCAACCAAAAGGACAGTCAAAAAGAAAAAGTAGTGAAAAAACAGCTAGATTATAAGGTGGTGTAGAAACTAAAAACAGGAACCCAGCACAGAAGATCAACATCATCAGGCCAGGACTCTGAGGTCTACACTCATCTCCAGGTCAGAGGTCACTCTTTCAGGGATGAAGATGTTCACATCCTGGACAGAGAGGAACGATGGTTTGAGAGAGGAGTAAAGGAGGCCATCTTTGTGAAAAGAAACCGTCCATCATTAAACAGGGGCGGAGCCTCCAGGTTCAACTGTCCATCATTAAACAGGGGCGGAGCCTCCAGGTTCAACTGTCCCCCTCTTACAATGCTGTGATTGCTAGTATCACTCAGCCCTCTGTGAACAGTAAACAGCCATCAGGTGCTAATGATCCATTGTTAGGCTGATGGTCCTTCTTGAGCATGTGATCAGCTGGTTCTGGTTGTCAGCAGCAAACTGGTTGATCCACTCTGAGAAGGTGCTATTTAAGAGACTGAGCTGAATACAGCACCTCAGACTGAGGAAGTCCTCAGGATGAGAGACAAAACGTTTCTACATTTTTTTGCTTTTTTTTTTTTTTGAATGTCCAGAGGACCAGACTGAACTTTTTTTGATTTTTCTACCTGGATTATTGAGCATGCATCAGGATAAAAACAGGAACATGTCTGCGTTGGTTCTTGCAGGAACTTAACAGATGTTTAAAGTAGGAATGCACCGATCCAATTTTTTTTACTTCCGATCCGATCCCCAAGTCTGAGTATCGGCTGATACCGATCCAGTTCTGATATCATGATCATTGATTTTATACGAGGCTGTAATAATCTCCTCTCAAGTACAACGTGTACAAATATATACATGCATGTCCAAAAAGGCAACTTGAGGTAAGTTTTATTAATGTTGGATAAGTTTTAAAGTTAGAATTAAATCCTGCTAACACAAAACATGTTTCTTTTTATTCCTAGTTTTAAAGTGGATATTAAAGTGATTAATTTAAGTGATTGTTTAAAGTTGTTTTGTATTTTATAAGGGGCAGATATAAGAAATATTTTTTTCTTTCTGAACTCTTTTCATTCAATTTTCTTTTTGATGATTTTTTTTATTTTTATTTTGTTTCTTTTAAATGAATAAATGAATTAAATTAAATAAAATGTTAAATGTCTTCAAACATCTGCTAAGTTCATGTCATAAACCAACAGACATGTTCCTGTTTTTAGTATTTTACATCATTTTATAATGTAACTGTTTATGTTCTTGACTGCAAGTATCAAACTGTGAAATCCTTCATTATCTACAAGTGATAGTGGTCGGTCATTAATGATGAAGTTTATCAACTTCTCTGTAAACATTAGAGCTCCGTGGTTTCAGCGACGTCTTCTTCTTGTTCAGTCCGAAGCAGGCAGTCTGATCTGGGTCAGCTGCTCTCAGTCTGTCCCTCCTCAGAGACGGGCAGACTGAGGGACAGAGTGGACGCTGCTGGCCGGGGTCGAGTCGCCTCTTTCGGTTGAGCAAAGAGCAGCGCCACGCTGAAGCCCCGGAGCTCAAATGTCCATCGTAAAACTAACTTTACCGTGGTTTAATGTGACGCTGTGGCTCAGCAGACAGTGCACGTTGCTGTCTTGTCTTGTGGTGTTCAGTGTAAAATACTTCCACACAGCGACATGTTTAGATGAAAAGTTTGTTAGCTGTTAGCCACAGTGCTGCTAACTCAGTCCTCACCTTGTAGCTGCTGCAAACTATGGACTGGATTTCCTGAATGTGAGGCGGGTCTTATTACTCTGGGTTCATGAGACACGCCTCCGTTCAGGAAATCCAGTCCATAGTTTGAAGCCAACATGCATCATGGATCGGAAATATCCGATACGTAAATTATGCTGGTATCAGAGGCTGATACTGGATCGGCCCCATCACTAGTTTAAAGCCACTTTGAGAGGCCAAGTGACCAATGAGGTACTCTCGAGGACCAACCCCCAAGATATATGCAAATTAATTTCTTGAGCTCGTCCCCGTGTTGTTACCGTGTTTTGTACTTCGTGCACAGACCTGTTCATTTGTTCAGCCATAATGGAAAACGCACAGAGAATTTCTTATGATGCAGCTTTCATGTTAAACACGAGGAGGAAGCAGAGCTGCATGTAAGCTGCATGTAAGCTGCATGTAAGCTGCATATAAGATGCATGTAAGCTGCATGT